TGATTTCCACTGAGCTCCTCAGTTCAGAAGAAGGCTGTGAGCCTGTCACTTCAGAGCTTGCACTCCAGAGAGTCTTAAACACTGTCAGTGATTACCATGAAACAGAAAGTAATGCTAAACCAGCTTTTACTTGAGGTCAGGTTCAGCAATAATTGGCAGCTTACGTCTCCTTCAGGTTTAAAACCAGTGAACTTTGACCACTGCTCCTGTGAAGTCTCCCTCATTCAGTTCCACAGCTCCACTGCAGTACCTTGTCCAGCAATAACCCCTGGAGCTGTCCCCTTCTCTCACTTGGGAGATCTGTTTCTCTGGAGAATTTCCACCAAGAAGTGGTGACTAATTCAATCACAAGGTGCCACATATGGTGACAGCCCCTGCTGTGAACAAAAATAAATCTTCCTTCACACAAAAGTTGATTTTATCATTCCTCTGTCTCTCTCCAGCCTCCTCTGCTTCATTCCCAGTGCAGTCCTCTTCCTATTAGGGATTATTCTTTCTCCCTCCTTTCCACAAAAGCCTTCATCCACCCTGCATGCTAGTGCCCATCTCCCTGCACAGAGGCCTTCCACTGGTGCCACACTGATCAGAGCTGCTTTCACATCCCCTCCCCAGAGCTCCCATACTGCAGTGTGTCCTTCTGTGGCCACGTCAGGAGTCTCCTTCACAAGTTTCCAGACAAGCCTGCTTGCTAATTTATTTGATTTGTGTGAGACCAGCTCCTAGCAGTGTTGGGGGTTTCCTAAGGCTGAAGGCACTGTTCTACCAGCCTCTGTTGTGACTTGTCCCTGTCATGACATGCTCAGGGGAGGAACAGCTTAACCTTCAGTGTTTATCTGACTTGAACAGGGGATCTAAAAGCACTGAAATCTGTCCAGGGCATGGTGGAAACCAGCCCTCTGCTGCCTGGTCTCCACGGTGTACTGGCATGCAGTGATGTTTGCACTTGTAAGACATCAAACCACTTTGACTTGCCCAGGTTGGGCGTTAAGAAAGGATTTTTATATTACAGTCATAGAATCATAGAATTGTTTTGGTTGGAAAAGACCTTTAAGACCATCGAGTCCAACTCTTAAGCCAGCACTGCCAAGTCTGCCACAAAAACTGGGGATTTACTGGTCCCAGTATTCACTTGGACATGTTTTTCTGGTAGCATTTCCATCTGCCTCAGTGTGTTCTGAATTGAGGTAGGATGTAAGCAGCATACAGCTTCCTGCTTCTCTGGGAGATACTCAGATACATGATCATAGATAGGGTATAAGAGCAAAATAAAAATGTACTGATGGGTCTCTAAGTCCAGCCATCCTACAAGGCATTCCTCTCATGTTCTGCTGGCTTTTCTCCACCAGTGGTTGTGGCTATCAAGTAATTTCATTATTGTTTATTGTAACAGCCCCAAACAGCTGAGATGAGTGCAAGTTCTGCAGTGCCTGGTGCTGTCCATTGTTTCTACACTCGCTGTTCTTGAGGTTAAGCACTGAGCTGGGTGTCTCCACAGGCAGGACAGTATCTCAAGGAGAGGAGAAGTTGCAATTGCTGCATTACTAAGGGGAAGCTGGAGCTCAGCCACGAGACAAATTTTGCAAAATCCTTGAAGCATCCATGATCTTCTCACAGCTTGCCAAGGTCAGCTAGGAAGTCTGTGACAGCAGCTGGCAGGGAGTCCAGCTCTGTGAAATCCTGGTGAACTGCTTCATCCATAAGCATCCTGTGAAATACCTGTTGCTCCCAAAAGCAGCACTTACCTACAGCCCTGCACTGGATACAGCCAGGTGCCAAGAGGGAGGTTATGCCTAAATGAAATTTAGACTGCTCTAGGCAGCAGCAGGTCAGCTAACCTGTTGTGTTTCTGGAGCTAAAATAGACAAAGTGCCTTCTGGTGTCAATCTTTATAGATCATAGCTTTGATTTCCTTCTTATTGATAGTTGCTGACAGCAGCAGAACTGCAATTCCATGTGAGCAGACTTTATCTGCCAGAAGAGTTCTTCCATGCCTCAGCCTGAGTGGGAACCAGGGGAGTTATGAATAAACATGAAGAATTCATGGACAGTTAGAAAATCCTTATCATTAATCATTTCCACAAAGGCATTGTAACAAAAGGGCTGCAAAACTCTTTGTTTCAAAGTGAGCAGGTTAAACTAGAATCTCCTTTTAAGTAGATTTCTGCTATCCAGGTGATCTGGGGATTAATTCTGCACACTTACATAGTGCTGAGATGAAGGAACTGCTTCTATAGATTTGGGAGAAAATAAGTTACTTTTTTTGGTTTCCATTATTCACATAGATTCCAAACTATGTTATTTTCTTGCCCTATTTTATGATTAAAACCAGACTTCAGGGCTCATCATCTAGTAAATACATCTCTAAGTGGTTTTTTTTTTCTGCCAGATAGAGACACAGCACCAATAGTGCCCATTTCAAGCCCAGTTCACTCAGTAACTTTGGGGGCTGCTGCTGGGGATGGGGTGTTTCCTATAGAACATATATATATAGAGACCAAATATGCCTGTCCCTGCCTGCCCCCACCACCTGCCTGCAGGGGAGGACAGCAGTGGCAGTGTTTGGAGGGTGCAGATGTCACCTGCAGTGTGTCACCACTGGGGGAAAAACTTCAGCCATCCAAGTGTCTCACTGTGCCTTCCAGAACTTCTAGCTCAGGACTTTAGGATCTGCTCTAAATCAAGTGGTCCTGGGTTGTCTTGGTGTTGCAGAGTGGTGGCTCAGTGTCACTTGGTGGTTCAAGTGTCACAGGGCAAGTTGGGCCACCTGCATGTGCTGCTGCTCCATGGTATGTGTGAGGCAAAAGTAGTGTCAGGAGGACATGCTGAGCCTCTTGCCTGATTGCTCACTTATTATCTGCATGGAAGTCCCAAAGCTTCTCAACAAGAGCTTGGGGAACTCCCAGGCAATGTCCTTTTCTCTTGAACCCAGTGGTCTAATATTTAAAACCCAGAAGGTGTAATGCCTGAGCAGGCCAGAGCACCCAGAGCCCCAGGCTTCTTTCCATTTCTGACTGGCAGGATTCTTCTTGGGCAGGTTGGAAATCTCAGCCAGGAATCCCACAGCCCTGCTGTGTGCTGACAGGTCACAGGGCCAGAGCTCTGTTCAGTGATTGTGTTCCAGATGTGGGAGGAGTGAAGTCTCAGGAATTTCCCTGATATCACTGACTCCCCGATAACCTCTTTGCTGTTTTTTTATTATGAGGCTTGCCTGAATCCCTCCTACCTCCTTCAGATGGCTTGAGCAAAGAACACATCAAAGATGTAGACACATTTCTCATCAACTAAATACCAGCAGCCAGATTATCTGAAGTCATTTTTGGCCTGCCTGCCACTGGGAAGAAAGTGCCCCCAGGGGTTCTCGTTGTGTACCCCGAAAGCACACGTCATAACAGCTCTTGAGTAAACAGAGGCAAAATCAGCATCCCCCATCCTCCTCTGTGTTCACAATAAAACCCCTGCTTTCATCTCTTGCCAAGAAAAGCACAGACAGTCTATTAAAACATCTTTAATAACCTGATATAATTAAAAATAGCAAACGTGCAACTCGAAGAAATGAATATGAAGCTTATTTAAATCCATTTCCACACCCCTCCAAACTTGACTGACAGGTTTCAAACCTTCATTAATTGGCCAGAAAATTTATGAATACCCCAAAATTATGGGGGACAGGGTGTAGCCTATATATGAGTTGGGACCACAAGGGATTAATAAACAGATTTGAAAGGATTTGGATGCCGTGGTAGCTTAAAAATCCTGCAAGGGACATCACTGCATCTGTGAGCATTTAAATTTCTGTTTACAGTGGTCTGAAATGAGTTGGAGACACTCGTCCCTTGGGCTTTTAACAGCCTGTGTGTTTAAGTCTGAAGCAATCTGAGAAGTGAACTCCAAATGCTTCAGTCAAAGGCCAGTGTTTGTCTGAATTGGTCCCTTTTCTTCAGAATAACATAGGGAATTTGTACAGCACCTCAGGTTTTAGATGAGCAGAGCAGAAGAGATGGAATGAGTAAGAAGTCCCAGAGGAATCCAGAGTATTGGATTATGAAGTAACTCTGGTCACTGTCTCATATGAAAGCCATCAGACTGACAATTAGGAAAGCTTCTGTTCCTGGGTCTGCTCTCCTCTAGAGGACAATGTTAGATGAGATGACTTCACTTTCAGAATCAGAGAGATAAGCAGTTAGTGCAAATGAACAAACTGGTGAACCTCAGCCCCACAGGCACCTTGTTTTAGCTGTTGTGAAGTTAAATGTGTTAATTTAAGTCCTGGTTAAAGAGTTTCCACTGACAGCTTTAACTCTGGAGTTGCCATGACTCGGCCCTGAGCCAGGAGCTCAGCTGTGTGTCTCTGCCCTTTGCTTCTCCTTTGATGCTCTGCACATTTTGTAGAGACCCAGACTGAAGAGCATTGCTTCTGAAGGGTTTGTGGTCAGCAGGAGCATGTGCTGGAAGGGACACATGGATGTCACTGAGATGGAAGAACACACACTTCAGTAGCAGTGGGCAGAAGATACTTTCTTCCCTAGAACTGGAAGCAGGCTGGCTGTTACATTCTATGTTTTAACACCCTTCCAGTCTTCACTGGTGGCAATACTGCATGTACCATCTCTTGTGGGCCCAGAAGAGGACAGGGCCCTTTTCTCAGACACCACCTCTCCTGATTAGACACTATTATTCAACATTCTCTTTACGACAGCTCGGGGCCTGCCTGCTCAGAGGCATCCTGTCATTAGGCTGACATAAGTCATCTCAGCTGCAGCCCAAGCAAGATCTGTGCAGGCTGCTCTCATCTGGAGAGGAAGTAGCTTGCCATCCAGCAGGAATCACAGGTCTCCTGCAGAGCAGGGTCCCCTGTCTCACAGTTGAATAGTGCAAGTCGCAATAAGGCTCTGGAGTCCTGCAGGAAAATCACTTGTATCCTCCAGTGACTTACACCTGGGTGATTTCTGTATGTACTCCATTCACTACCCTCTGGCAAGAGTCTGGAGTCCCAGAGTAACTCAGTTGTCATCAAAAACACTGCTGTTCCTGTTGCTGAAGCTGTTTTCCTTCACCATCACTCGGTACGAGATGCGCATGAAGGAGCCGGTGAGCAGCACGACGAAGAGGATGAGGAGCAAAGACCAGATCCCTGGTTCTATCCCCTTGAGGAAGCTTGGGCTGTCCTGGGGCATGGTGTTGGTCAGACTCAGCAGGTACCCAAGAGTCCAGCCAGATGATGTACTGGCCATCTATTGGAATAAAAAGGAGAAGGGGTCAGTCTGGGCCCCTGATGTGTTTCTGTGCACAAGCCCAAGGCCTCATACACTTTATTTGAGGCTGACCCAATGATTAGGCTGGAAATGAGGAGCCCTGAGTACATTAATAGGTCTCCATTGCCCTGACCAGTCTCACCTGGCACTTCCATTTAAGCTCTGGCCTGAGCAGTCACCTCTTTCCTGACCTGTGCTGTAGGATTGTGCTTCTCCTGCTTACTGAGTGGCTTTCCCAGGAGGACCTCAAGTCTACCTCATGGGTAGTTCTGTCTCTGGCCCTGTTGTCTGGTTGAACCTCAGATGTATGATGTAGGTTTCTTGTCTCTGAATTTCCAGGCTGGGCTCCCTGGATGGACTCTGGACCTACCTCATTACCCTGCCTTGGTCTGGTGGTCACCACGTGGCTGACTGAACTGCTGTGGTTCTGCTCAGTGAGACCAGGCCTTTGCTGGTGAGTTGAGAAGAGGTCTGGGAATAGGTTTTCTTTTCTTTTGGGAAAGGGAGGACCAGAATCAAATCCTCCTTTCCTTAGGAGCTCCAGATTCTGAAGCAATTTCAGACCTTATAAGCCAGTTATACCCTGATGGGTATGAAGGTGATTGCAGAGAGGTAAGGCAGCATCTTTTGGCTCAGGAAATATTGTCAGCAGCTTGTCCTTAACATCAAGTGGTGATCAAGCCATGCTTCCTTCTCTACTGGGCAGAGACTCCTGCTGATGGTGTTGCTCCAGATAAGGGTTTTAACCCATCTGTTTTTCAGTGGGGACAGGTGTAATCTCTAGCTCTCTGACACTGGTTTTCTCACTCATCACAATTGGGAATTCATTTGGCAAAAGCATCTTTCTGGAGAAGCCTAACTGGTGAGGGCTTGTTGAAGTGGGAACAGGCTGGTTACTGAAACCAGCCCTCCCCCTGTGGGGATCAGAGATGAGGCCGAAGTGGCTGGTATGAGGAGCAGCACAAAATCTGAAGGCTTTGGTACCATGGGAAGCTACTGGTAACAATGTTCAAAGCACCTAACTAAGGAACTTGGGCAAAACCAACTAGAGTTGTTGGTAGAGAAGCTAGAAAACTGAAAGCAAAACCAGCAAGGCTTAACTGCAACAATCTCATGAGAAAATTAACAGCTGCAGGGTCAGAATGACCCAGGCTACAAGTGTGTGTGAGTTGTATCAGTAAAGGTTTCCAGCTGTAAGCAGCTCTGGGGACTGTGCCTTCAATGCCCCATGTCCCCCATACCTGGAAGTGCCACACTGTGGGTAACTGACCTTCTTCTGGAATGCAGCCCAGGCAGCCCCCTCTGAGTTAACCAGGTAGCCCTTTGTACTGAGGTGAAAGATGAAGGCAGACACGAGGCAGTAATCAGCAAGTGTATCCAGGCTTGTCTGGGACTCCTTAACCAGCTGGTGTCATTGCCAAAAGAAGGTGAGGAAAAAATAAAAGAAGTAAATATTCAGGAGCTGAATTTCAGGCCTGCTGTAACTTCTCCTTTCCTGCTCTGGGACTATGGGACTGGAGGAGAGGTTTGTGTCCTGTGCAGACTGAAACAGTGTTTCCTGCACCCACTGGGCTGTGGCCTGGCAACCAGTGTCATTTCTTGGTGCTTTTGTTGCCAATTTAGTAAAGACCAGGCAGTTCCAGGAGCAGCAGGACTGGCAGCCAGGCCTCCTACAGTTGCCCTGCAGGTGAATTGTTTGGTTAGATTTGCTGCTCTCTAATTAGGTTGAGCTAATGCTGCAGCCTTTCCCTCCATAGGAACATTAACAAGATCTTTCCCTTCTATCTATCCAGAAGAGAAAGCTTTTAGGGAGCTGCTGAAGGGCTTTGCTCCCTCATTAGCAAACCTTGTAGAAATTTTCCAATTTGGATGTTCCTGTGGATGCTCAATGTAGCTGCAAATGAGGGTGAGCTCATGAGCTACCAGCTGAGGGAAAGAACTTAGAGATTCTCCCCCAGGGTTTGGTCTTCACAAGCCCAGGTGAAATGGGAAGCCCCTGGAGTCTGAGCAGATGTGTTCCTTGCACTTAAGGAGAGGAGGGTCACGGGAAGGCCAAGGTGAGGTACTGGAGTGAGCAGACACCCTTCCTCTTTACTCCTTAATAGGCATAAAAGGTACTTGTGGCTTTTTACTTCACTGAGTCCAGGTGTTACCAGCAGGAGCTGGGATTTGTGAGGAAGGTAAATCAGTGGAGCCTGTTTCCTCAAAATAAGGAAAAAAACCCAAACCCAGGTAAATCCAAGTTCTTCCCTGAGGGAGCCAGTAGGTTATGGCTCTGTCACAGCCCAGACAGACTGCACCTTGTTTCCCACTCTCCCTGCATGCCAAGTTATTGCAGAGTTACCTCTTTGATGGACATCCCACAAAGCCTGGTGACTGCCTGACCCAAGTCAGGATTGGGTACAGTTTCTCTCATGAAGTCCATGGCCTCAGAAATCACCTAGAACAGCAGCAGAAATAATCATCAGGTTGGGCTGTGCTCTGCATCCTTGCACTGTGTGTGGTGCCTGCAGGAAAGCAAGTGGTGGTAGCTGTGGGTGTTGCCAGGGTGCCCTTTTGGTGTGCCTGTGTTGGTGGTTACACCTCTGATGGGTGCATGGAAGACAAACAGTTCTGTTATTGTCTGGAGATGGAAAGGGGACTGATTCTAGCTTGCATGCAGCAGCCTTCTGCCCTCCCTGGATGAGTACACTACTCCTTATGCTCCTTGGCACCATGTTCATGGGAGACTCAGGAGCAGGGAGCCAGGGAAATCTCTGTAATCCCTCCTTCTGAAATGCACTCAGTTTGTCCTAGGGTCATGAGTTGGTCCTTTAGCAACCCAATGCCTTTGGACACTAGATCCAGGGTCTCAAATATGAGCATGTGTGGTGGAGCATGCCCAGATGTTTGCTAAGGGGTTGGCAGGGGATCTCCAGCCTTACCACAGACTTTGTTGGGGAAGCCCTGCTCAGCATACAACTCCTGGCTGTCCTATCCCTGCGAGCTCTGTGGAGCCCCAAAGTTTGTCTCTCCAGCAGACATTGCTGAGATATGGATGAAGAAAGCCCAGCACAGTCATCAGTGGGAAGCCTGTGGTCCATATTTGAAGAGCTGTGTGCCAGCAGTGGGGAGGGGGCAGGAGTGCATGTGTGCAGCATTAGCCAGAGCACTGGCCCTCTTGGCTAGCCAAGATGCAGTGGGAGTAGCCACACTGTGTTCATTTATGGGCAAACCCGTCCCATTTCCTGGAGTCTCCA